ATAGATAGATAGATAGATAGATAGATAGATAGATAGATAGATAGATACAGTGGGGGAAATAAGTATTTGACCCCTTGCTGATTTTCCCGGTTTGCCCACTTACAAAGAATGCAACGATCTATAACTTTAATCATATGTACATTCTAACAGTGAAAGACAGAATCCCAAAGAAAATTCCAGAAAATCACATCATATGAATTTATAAAAATTGATAACCATCTGATGAGGAAAAATAAGCATTCTTTGTAAGTGGGCAAACCTGCAAAATCAGCAAGGGGTCAAATACTTTTTCCCCCACTGTAGATAGATCATGAAATCATGTTCATCTTTGTGGTTTTTGGTTGTTTTTTTTCTAGAGTGAAGAGTCCAGGTCCATGTGCTTTTAGGAGAAATGGCCTCCGTCTCCAGGTTTGACCGGGTGAGGGCGGCCCCCCACTATGACGAGGTCCCTGTCGGCCCCCTGTGGCGAGACCAGGACCTGCCCCCCCCGCCCCCGGCCCTGACCGGAGCCGTGTCCACGCTCAGCCTGGACCCCCTCCCGCCCCCACCTCTCCCCGAGACCCCCGCCGTGGGGCTGGACTCCCTTCACCGGCCCCCCCGGGACGATCCGGGGGAGGAGGGGGACTGCGACGCCATGGACATCAAGCCCGTCCGGCGCTTCATCCCCGACTCGGTCAAGAACTTTTTCCGCGGGAACAGCGGCAACCGGGGCAGCCGGGGCTGGCCCGTGCCCCCCCCGCCGGCCCCCAGCTCCCCGGCCCCCTCGTCCACCAAGAGCCGCACCACCGGGGGGGTCCCCTGCTCGCCTCCCAACTCGGCCCCTCCGTCCCCCTCGCTGCCCGGCTCCTGCCGGGACCCCTACGGGGGGTCGGGGGGGGGCTACGGGCTGCTGCTGGGCGCCGAGGCGCGGGACCTGGCCTCGGTGGCGTCCACGGCGCAGAGCTACCAGGAGCGGGTGGAGGAGTACCACCTGCGCTACGCCTACATGAAGTCCTGGGCCGGCCTGCTGCGCATCCTGGGCTGCGTCCAGCTGCTGCTGGGCGCCGCCGTCTTCGCCTGCGTGTGCGCGTACGTGCACAAGGACAACGAGTGGTTCAACATGTACGGCTACTCCCAGCCCCAGCTGTACGGCGGCCTGGGCGGGGGGGCCGGGGCCTACGGCGGGTACTCCGGGAGCTCCTACTCCGGCCCCAAGACCCCTTTCGTCCTGGTGGTGGCCGGCCTGGCCTGGATAGTGACCGTCATTCTCCTGGTTCTGGGGATGTCCCTTTACTACCGGGCCATTCTGCTGGACTCCACATGGTGGCCGCTGACGGAATGCGCCATCAACCTGGTGCTGACCGTGCTGTACCTGGCGGCGGGGGTGACCTACGTGAAGGACACCACGCGGGGGGGGCTGTGCAGCACGCCCGTGTTCAACAACGGCGTGAACGGGGCCTTCTGCCGCACCGAGGCCGGCCAGACGGCCGCCATCGTCTTCCTCTTCATCACCATGGCGCTCTACCTCATCAGCGCCGGCGTGTGCCTGAAGCTGTGGAGGCACGAGGCGGCCCGGATGAGGAAGGAGGGGCTGGAGCACGAGGTCCGAGTCCAACTGAGTCCATTTCAGCTGTCCGGCCCCTTTTTTTTGCAGCATCGCATTAGCCTAAATGAACAAATTCCTACCACCAGTCCTTTGTTTTGGCTTAGTTTTCTGAATAGATATAGATTTACTGCTTTTAGTTTTTCAGCTAATTTGTCAAAAACAGCAGCAGATTGTTTGACAGCTTTGTCTTATTGGGTTAAATAGTAATTTAAGTAGTAATTCAAGCATAGTATAGTGAGTATTGTATAGTATATTAAAACTAGACTTGCATAGTGTTGTGGATTCTAATTAACTGGTTGAAGGGCTTTTACTCTAGAGCACTGTATTAAAATTCTCCAATATTTTTCCATCTCTACTATTCAGGCTTTAAGTCAACATAAAATCACTTTAACTGTTACTAGAACTACACTATATCCTAATTTTAAAACAATACCAACATCTAATAAATCATTTCCTGTCTCTTCCTCCCTTCACAACAAATCTAGATGAGAACCACGGTGTCGTCTGTCCCACTGTCAGTTGTAAGTCTCGGTGAATGATCTTATTCTACTAAGCACTGAGTTTTGGACAGTAAACTGAAAGGTTCTGCTTATTTTGAACAGCTGGATGGGGGATCCCGGGCCTCGGAGCAGACGCCCCTCCCCACAGTACAGCCGGACCTCATGAATGCTCCCAACATCAACGGGGCCGCGTCCGTGATGGCGCTGGAGCCCGAGATCCTGCGGGGACACATCCCGGCCGGACACATCCCCAAACCCATCGTCATAGCTGACTACGTGGCGTAAGTATTACCTGCTAAATGTAAGGAAGGGGCAGTTTATTTTTATGGCACTATTCTTGTACAAGACGATTTCAACTGCTTTAAGTAAAATAAGAAAAAAATCCTAAGAATCAGAAAAATCATAAAAAAATTAAGACTTTAAAAGCAGAAATAAGTAATTAGATAAAATGCAACATTGATTAAATAGATAAAAATGTAAGATTCCAAATAGAATGTTCTCCTGCCCGACTGGAAGGCTGATTGGAAGGCATCAAACACATTGTCCAGCAGGAGAAATTCAGTCATCTGTTGTTGTACAACTTTTTCCAGGACGTTTCCTGAGAATGGCCGGTTTGATTTGGGCCGGTAGCCGTTCAGTACCGAGGCATCCAGACTGCTCTTTTATTTTTTTTCTTTAGAAGAGGCTTAATGACAGCAGTTTTTAAGGCCTTTGGAAATGGTGCAGTCTGAAGTGAGACGCTGATTAGATGAGCCAGTTGTGGTAACTTTGTGTGTCTAACTGGCTACAGAGTCCATATTTATATTTAAAATTATTACATTTTTATACATTGAACTTTGTCATTCAAGAATATAGCAAACTCTAGACATATAGCAAGATCTAGACATTAGTTTTAAGAGCAGTGAGAGTGGAGGTGTGTTGATTAATTAAAAAGTAAAAATAAAACATGAAATATCTGTAAACCCAGTGATGAGGCCTACATATGTGTCCAAACTCAGCTGAATGTGGGCAATCGTCAGACCGAGTGAGTTCTGTTTCCTGTTCCGTAGGAAGTACCGCAGCATCTCGTCGGATGAGGAACGGGACCGCTACAGGGCCGTGTTCAACGACCAGTACGCCGAGTACAAGGAGCTGCATTCTGAGGTCCAGGCCATGGCTCAGAGGTTTGAGGAGATGGACGAGATCATGCAGAACCTTCCCGCCAGGCCCTCCAGCCAAATGGTACCGCACGCCTGTAAACACACACTCACACACACACACACACACACACACACACACACACACA